TAAACACCCTTATCTCTCAAGACCTTATTCATTCACCAGTCTCCATCCCCATTTTCGTACTTAGAAAACCCCAATCCATTTTGTGAGCTTCCTTGAGTCATTAATGTGTGTTTTGGTGTTCTCAGAGGAAGAAGAAGGAAATGAGAACATCTTGGGAGCTTGAAGCAACCTTGGATATGGAAGTTTTGCACCTTTTCCCTATCCAGAAGGTATAAAGTTTATCCCTTGATGCTTATTTTGTTAGATCAAGCTTGTATGATGCTATTATGTGCTTTTTGTCCCTAATTATGGTGTTCTCAAGTATGGCATCTTCTAGACCAAATGGGTTGTCCTTTTGGACATTTTGTAGTGTCTAGAGTCATAAAAGAGCAACCTTGGTCTCTTATTCCTTTCCATGCAAATGCTATAGAGCTTAAGAGCTTAAGACAGGTTGGGGTTTTGGTGTTGGGTATTCTCTAGACATGCAAACTCATAAAGATAGAAGCTTTATTGTTTGGAATGATATTTGGGGGCTAGATCTGCATTTAGACGAAATGACTTCATGAAATAAGCACTTTATGGGAAAGTCACAATTTAGCAGAGTACGTTGGATGTACTTCTGAGTACGATACGCGTACTCCTTTAGGAGTCCAATCTGGATCTTGAGTATGGTTAGCGTACATGTTGAGTACATTGGGCATACTCAACCTGAGTTAACTCGGTTGACTTTTTGACCTTTGAAACCAGATTTTGACCAAGTTTGACCTAGGGTTATTGCGGGTATTTTGAGTTGTATTTGAGTTTGGTCACTATTCAACGTATAAGTGACTGGTAAAGCTGATTTTCGGAGCAGTGTTCTGTTCAGCTATCTTTACAAACTGAGATGTGAGCTTTCCTCACTGTACTTATGGGTCAAAGGCACCAATGACAACCCACTAGACTATCTATTTGGTATATAGGATGTTGTTATGAAGTAGTGACATGTTAGATTTGTATCCTGGTATTTAGGATGTTATTATGCGGTAGTGATATATAGATCTTCATGTTAGTAGGTTGATTGGTTATATGATTATTTGTTTGTTAAATTCATGTTATCTGTTATGTATATGTTGAGATAGTGTGACTGGGTTGAGATTGCACTGCTTTGTGCGGCCATTCACCAAACCCATGTTAATCTAATCAGGAGGTTGTGGGCCAGGGAAATCCAATCGGGAGGTTGTGGGTTAGGGTAATTCCACCGTGAAGTTGAGGACCCAATATGCAATGTGTATGGAAAGCCAACCGGGAGGTTGTAGGCCAGGGCAATCCAACCGGGAGGTTGTGTGCCAGGGTAATCCAACCAGGAGGTTGTGGACCCAACATGCGATATTTATATTTGTTTGGCTGTGTGTGGTGCTTTGGGGAAACTCAGTAAGTTTTAGCTTATAGTTTTAGTTTATTGTTTCATGTACTTCATACGATCGTGGGAAAGCAAAGGCATGATCATGCACATCCTCTTGATTTTATGGTTTTGGAATTTAGGATACTTTGATTTTGACTTTACTCTTGGAAACAATGTTTTGTAAACAATTATGGTCTTTGGATTGGTTTTTAAAAATTGAGAATTTTACTATGACTTTTGGGATGTTACAACACAAATATTCTGGAGTAGCTTTTATTCACTATAATCAACTCATGGGACCAAAATATGCCCAACAACCCTAACTAACTTAGATATAATCAAGGAATCAACAAGGTTAAGACTTTATACATCTTGAAAGCTGATAAATATGATTATAGCTTTTATCCATAAGCTTCAAGCCAAGAAATGCCTCTTACAATATCTCCTTCTTCTCCAAATCACGCCAAATATCACACCAAGGCTTGAAATTCACACGAGAGAGGCTAGGGTTTCGAATTTAGGGTTAGAGAGGATGGTGGTTGAAGATAAGAGGGGTTGTAAGTGATTTAAGGCCTTTAAATCGGGTCCAAGACCCTAAATTAGGGTTTGAGTCTGGACCGCGTACGTCCAACCTTGCGTACGCGAAGGAGTCTTCGCACTCAGCACAACCAAGTACGACTAACGTACATCCCTTGTACGCCAGCATACTTGACAAGCCCTTAACTATTCTAACTTATGAAGGCTATAACTTCTTCTCTCTAACTTCTATTTCAATGATCCTTATATTCACGAAAAGGTAACGAGAAGCTCTATACTCCTTTAAATCCCTCTTCGCGTTAAAACCTTCCAAAATTAAATCGTAAATTCATGAAAGGCCTGAACCATTGCCTTTTTACCATTTTACCATTGGGATACAAAGCACAAACCGAACTCTTGGGTCACATAATCTACATTACCCTCAACCAAAAAGGGTATTAATCCTTTCTTTTCCCAAAGTCCGAATCGTTATGTTAAATGATCTTCGAGTCATGACTCTGAATTATGAAACGACTTGGAACAGGGTGTTACACTAGATCTATAATCTTGGGACTCAGATAAATTATAAAGTTGCAAACATTATCTCTTAGCTTCACACGAAATCCACCAAAGGGTTCTAACATGCAAGATAACCTTAGATCAACTAAGAATAAACTAAAATATTAGATTAAGAAACCTTACAAATGGTCCAACAAGGTGCTTTTAGAGATTAAGGGAGTGTTTCTTACTGACTTCTTGCTCTAAACCTTCCTCTACTTCCTTCAAAATGCACTGAAACACCAAAAAAGAGCTCAAGAATCACTAATATGAACTCAAATATCACCAAAAGGAATTAGGGGGTTAGGATTCTAAGGTTTGAGAGTGATGAAGGTTGAGGGTAAACAAGCACTAGCCCATACTTCCCTTTAAATAGTCGAGAATTAGGGTTTTCTCATCAGATGGTCGCCACGTCGTGGACAACATGTTGCCATGTCGTGGGAACCAACTTAATATCCGCGAACATTCCAGATATGCAACATCGTGGTGGTGCCTCCACCACGTCGTGGCAACCCAGACTCAACAATTTAAATTACATAAAAAAAATTAAAATACCTCAAGGAATCCGGATGTTACAAGTGTGATGAAGGAATGAAGGGATGAAGCCTATTTGACATGGGGAAATCGTGGAGTAGTTGTTTCAAACTCAAATGGGAATGTTGACAAAGATGGATGAAAACTTATACTTACCAATGGCAATGGTTATGCTAAACCAACATGAATTATTGTCATTAAGGTTTTGTCGGAGACTTTACAGTGACGGAGCAAGAATGAGGCCAATTAATCTTTTAAGATATTATTTGTGTTCACACACAGGGCGGTTGGCTTCAAACACAATACATACTGGACGAGTTTTAATAAATGCTTGTAACATAAGACACCATCTTCGTCCACCAACCAACCATCACCGATTTACCTTGCCAGGGAATCCCACTACTCGCCAAAGAAAAAGCCTTTTATCTCATATTTGCACCATCGGTGGACCGATGATGCAATTTTGCATCTGGGTTTTTGATACTTGATGTTTTGGTTATAAAGATGCAAAAGTTTGGTTGTTGCTCCATCCATGGAGTAACTTTTGCTTTAAGAGATGAGATTTTAATGGGGATGATGAAATTTAGAGATAATAATAAATTATAGCGTATATACAATGAATTCTACTTTAAATTCAGTGAAATGATGATCGGTTTGTTCTGTATGTGTGTGTCATTGTGGAGAGAGGGAGAGAGAGAGCATTTTATGTATTTAATATGATAAAATAGTTAAAAACCGAAAAACAAATATATTAAAGAGATAATAGTCATTTTATTTTTTAGAGGGATCAAATCCACAATAAAAAAATATGGTCAAAACTAAAATCCAAGAAAAAGAAAGTGCAAACTATAAGGACTATTTTTGTAGTTTTATCTAAAACTAACAAACATGCAAACGTTTCTTATCTTTTGGGTCTTAAACATCTACTACAGCAACTCCAAGGGTCTCATTTGAAAGTTAAATAGGGGTTTAAATTGTAAACGCTGTTAAAAGCCGGATAGGATTTCACTTTCCTTCAACGAAACAGAACTCCATAAAGAAAGCAAGGAAACGAAGAAGACGCTCCCGCGGGTCCACCGGTTTTCCCGGTCACCATAACCCACCTACTCCACACAATACTGTACCCCCGCCACAACCTCCGCCGTCTGCCGCCTCTTAACTTACTCTTCAAACTCTACTCCGACCATTTCCCGACCAAAATTTAACAAGAAAATGGTAAGAAAATTCTCAAAACGTACAAAACTTACGCTCATGTAACAGTAGAAACCAATTTATTTCATCATTCAAATCAGTTATTGGGTTTCCATTTTCTCGAGCGATTTCTTCTTCTTCTTTTTTCTTTTTTCTTTTTAGTTTTTGGTAAAGTTGGAAAAACTATATACGGTTGCTTCGGAATTTTGTCTCTAGTTTCACCTTTCTACTGTGGTGTTTCTGTTTTTGAGATCTTATGTGAAGATGAAGGTATTTCTGTCTTACCTTTTTAGGGCATGAAGTTTTAACCAAAGAGTAACGTCTAGAACATTCCACATTAATTTAATAATTTCATATCTGGGATATGTCAGGGAGGCGATTGTATTGGAAAATCTTTGAAAATTTTATTTTCTTGATTTCTAATACCATATCGGTGTAAGATTTGTTGTTATCGTTTCTCTATAAATACCCATGATTTGCATACATTTCATTGATCTTCCAAACCCCATATACATATTTCTGGTGAGCTATTCTTGTAGTTTGAATTCTTTATTCTAATTAAACAATACAGCTGTTCATTCCTTGATTTTACTTTTAAAAGTTTGATTTGTTTTGCCAAATGCCATGATAGAATTCTCTTTCTAATTGGGGTACAGATGCAGGGAATAACAACTATATAAGATAAAAAAATTATATAGCATTTTTTTTAGATTAAGACCCTTTAAAGTTTATGATTCTAATTCGATTATGATTTATGAACTCAGATTGTTTTCTACGATTCTTGAAGAAGCATGTCGATCAGTTAACCTTCAAAACTCCATCTGTTTCCCTGTTCGAAGATATGAATGATTCAATAAAAATTATCCGACCCGATTCATCTTTCACCAATTTGCTCGAGCTAGCCGCTAATAATGACGTAGACGGATTTAAGCAATCAATCACTCGTATTCCTTCCGCCATTAACGAAGTGGGATTCTGGTATGGGCGTCAAAGAAGCTCAAAACGTATGTTAATGGAACACAGAACTCCATTGATGATCGCTGCAACTTATGGTAGTCTTGATGTTGTTAAGTTAATACTTTCTTTTACAGAGGTCGATGTAAATAGTTCTTGTGGCCTCGATAAAACAACCGCTCTTCACTGTGCTGCTTCCGGTGGTTCTTCTAACGCTTTTGACGTCATCAAGATTTTGTTAATTTCCGGCGCCGACCCTGAATTAGTCGACGCCGATGGTCGTCGTCCTGTTGACGTTCTTCTCGTTCCTCCAAATCTTCCAAACCTGAAGATTTCACTTGAAAAATTACTTAAAAATGATGGATTTTGGGTTGAACAAGAAGATGATTTGACTTGTTTCAAATCAAATGAGAAAAAGGAATACCCAATTGACCCGTTTTTTCCCGATTTAAAAAGCGATGCTTATTCAACCGACGAGTTTCGAATGTTTGCGTTCAAGATTCGACCATGTTCACGAGCTTATTCGCATGATTGGACTGAATGCCCGTTTATTCATCCGGGTGAAAGTGCAAGAAGACGTGACCCGAGAAAAATCCATTACAGCTGTGTTCCATGCCCCGATTTCAAGAAAGGACAGTGTCGACGTGGCGATCTCTGTGAGTTCGCTCATGGAGTTTTTGAATGCTGGCTTCACCCTGCTCAATACAGGACTCGTCTCTGTAAAGATGGAACCTTTTGTGCTCGAAGGGTCTGTTTTTTTGCTCATACGCCTGAAGAACTCCGTCCGCTGTATGTTTCTACAGGTTCCGCCATGCCCTCACCACGAAGTTCTCCGGCTGCCGCCTCCACCATGTCACCGCCGTTTTCTCCACCACCTTTGTTGCAGCTGCACGGTGGCAATCTTCAGGCAAGCCGACTGAGATTGTCATTTAACGCTAGAGATGTTCACGCGGAGGAGCTTAAGCTGCTTCTTGACCTTGAAATGCATCAGCGGCAGCAGGCGGCGGTGAACCTTTTCTCGCCGGTGAACTCGTTTTCGCCAAAGGGTTATGAGTATTGGGGTTCGCCTAGGGGAATGGAGCAACAACAACCTCACTTGCCCCCTTTTAGCCCACAGTTTTCGAAATGGGATTATGCGAAAAAGGTGGACTGGTCGGTGAACGGAGGTGAACAAGCTCCGGCGAGAAGGTTGCAGGTCACTGAGCCTGATGTTTCATGGGTCCAGTCTCTGGTGAAGGAACCACCACCGCCGGTTGCTGCGGTGGAACCACCGGAGACTGAAAAGAACGATCATGCGGCTTTGGGAGCATGGCTCGAAAACATGCAGCTTGATCAGATTGTTGCCTAGCATGCATCGGTCAAAGTCAAACTGGAGCAAGCTAAGGAGTGAAAGGTAATTTTATTTATCTATTTATTATTATTATTAATTTTTTTGTTGTTCCACAAGAAAAAAAAATATCAAAAGGTTGGAAATTCTTTTCTCAAAGATTTGACTTTTGCTTTCTAAAGAGACCCAAGATTTCATGGAATTCAGTTGAATTCTTTGTATTGTTACACCTATTTTTAAACATAAACATAAATACAAATTGATCGTCTTTTAAGTTTATACTTTGTTTCGTTGTCAAAGGGCATGTATTTAGTGAACTAATTTTTCAATGAAATAATTGTACTTTGTGCATAGACGATTAATGTTGGAATTCGTTGTATTTTATCTTGTTTATCGGGATGCCGAGTATTTTTTTTTTTTTATATAGTTCTAATAAAGTGGCGTCGTTTTCGTGATGGTAGGATAGGGTTGATGATGCGTTCCATTTGGTTAAAAGAAAAGAAATTATTGTTGGGACAGAAAGTGATTGAATTTGGTAGTTTGGTTGTTTTTGATGATGTACAATCAGTAATCAACAGATCAACATCAATCTCCCAATACCTTCATATCTCGTAATTTAATATTCTTACTTTTAATTTATTGGCATTCTTTTTGTCACAAATAAAGAATTGAAAAAACTCATATCATATGCATGGTTAACCTGATTTATAATTTAAAATAAACATCATAATATTATTCTTTTACATTTGACTTCAAATTAAATAGCATCTCTAATATTTAACTTTTTCTATAGTTATTTTATTTTATTTTTTTATAAATTTAATTAATTTATCCCCAACTATTAAAATGTTTTAGAGTAAATTATACGAATGGTCCCTATGGTTTGGGGTAATTTGCGTGCGTGGTCCCTATCTTATTTTTTTAACTTGTAAGGTCCCTACTGTTTGTTTTTGTTACGTGCTTGGTCCCTACTATTTGTTTTTGTTATGCTCTTGATCTCTATCTTACCTAAAAAAATAATTAATTAAATTGAAAAAAAAATGGTGGGGTAGACAATGTAAGGTTAGAGGGGTGGAGTTGGGGGAATATTTATTTAAATAGCTAAAATTTACATTTTTGCCCCTTTGGAAAGCATGCTTATCATAAAAATCCATTTTTATACAAGTAGAATCTGTTTGATCCTAAAAAAACATAAATGTCGTTTTTTACCCTTATCTTTTGTTTTCTTGACAATTTTGACCCTTAACAAAGTTGTTGCCTTTAATTTTTTATGTCTTAAACATATGACACTTTTAACTTGATAATATGATGTATAAGGTGTCTTAGTTCATGGATCTTAACTCAATGTTACTTAAGAAGTCGTGATTTGTTAAGATCTAACATATTTTTACAAAATGAACTAAGAAATCACACAAGACATGCATATAATACATAGATCTACACATTTTACTTGCATTCTCCCTCAAAAATCATGTAAAACCAAAAACAAGGGGGGTATGAACTCACCTTTGCTTGTTGTTCTCGGTTTTGAAGAAGAAACGGAGAGATCTTGACCTTTAGCAAGCCTTCTTGAGTAATTTTCGTTTAAAAAATCAAGGGGAAAATAATCTTTTTTGAAAGGATTGGGACCAAACGCATAACAAAAACAAACAGTAGGGATCTTCCGAGTTAAAAAAATAAGTTAGGGATTAAACACGCAAATTACCCTAAACCATAAGGACCATTCGTGTAATTTACTCAATGTTTTATAAAACCTCTCTCTCTCTCTCTCTATATATATATATATATATATATATATATATATATATATATATATATATATATATATATATATACCCTTAAGGGTATATAAACTAAGGTACCAAAACTCACCATACTACGTTGTTTTGTATCATATAATACATTCTAATTGTCCAATTTTCTTATAATTTAACATGTAAGTTGATTTACTTCCACGATTTTTATAAATTACACATTTATCTTCCCCTTATATATTTTTTATTTTCAACTACAATATATAGCATAGTATGTGTTCGATAAAAAGATGTGATGCAAGAGAAAAATAATAGTGAAATTTCGAAAATCTTGAAAGTAAATAAGTTAGGTGGTTGAAGTTTAAGAACATGATAATGAATATATCAAACAAAACAACGTATTATGTTTTATGTTTTGTTTGAGTACCTAAGCTTAAAATTTACTATAAATATTAATGTATTTGTTATGGTTTGTATTAAAATTTATTATGATATATATATATATATATATATATATATATATATATATATATATATATATATATATATATATATATATATGTCATGTATGATAATTAATAGAATAACTAAATATATATCAAAACTTTAATATAATTGAAGGAGTAGTATGACATTAATAAAGACAAAGATGTTAGATGATCAAATCAATATAGTATATTGACTACACGATATATATTGAGTGATAAATAAAAAAACAAAATATGATATACAGGGTTGATAGCTTATTAAAAAAATAAATAGTTAAAAAAAATAGTAATAAGTCATTAAAAAAAAGTTCCTATTAAAGATGCCTCTTGACACAATTTTGGATAAACAATGTCGAGCATTTTTAGTTATATTTCTTTATCTGCATCAAACAATTCAAATTATCTATATTATAGGTAAAAAGAAAATGACAAATGGGTCGATATCGTTCAAAGTATATTTTGAATTTATAATACTTTCATCTGTTTTATTATGATAATATAAAATTTATAATTACATTTGACTTATTAACTTATGATAAAGTTTTAAATAAAAAGTATTTTAGGTCAATCCATCATGCTTTAGAAAATATTATCTTATGGTAAAACTAATTGATAAATTTATAACAACGTACTACACTTTCATGCATGAACCATAAGTTATTATTTGTTATTTTGCTGGTCTTGGAAGGATTTGCCTTTATTTATAGGGATAATGACTTGAAAGGGTAACGAACTTTCGACTTTTGTCACATTTAGTCATTAAACTTTTTTTCGTTATCTATTTGTCATTGAACTATTGAAACTGTTCACATTTTACCCTTATGACCGGCTGTTACCGGTCGTAAGGGTAAAATGTGAACAGTTTCAAAAGTTTAGTGGCAAATAGATAACGAAAAAAAGTTTAGTGACTAAATGTGAACAAAATCGAAAGTTCGTTTCCCTCTAAAAAGTTCAATGACTAAATGTGAACAAACTTCCTATTGTATTATGTTTTAGCAAAATTATTTATTTTTGTTTAATTGTAGCAACATTTGTTGATGAAGAAATCTATGAAATAAAAAAACAAAATGTAACATCCGGATTTCCAGGTATCATAATTTAAGTATTTTTCTTTTGAGTTAAGAAGAGAGACTCGACGAGTTGACGCCACAACTTGTCGAGTAAGGTCGCGACTGATGACTCGGATTAATGAATGGACTCGACAAGTCGGTGAGGCGACTCGACGAGTCCGCGCTGTTGGCAGAAACCCTAAATCTTTGGGCCCGACCCATATTTAAAGGCACTTATGGCCTTCAATTGCGACTACCTTTCCCATAAGTGAGAACCCTAGCGAGCTTGAGTGTGTAGAGTGAGAGGAAGAGCTATCTTGAGCTTTTTGGTGTGATAGATCTGGACCCTTCTAGGTCCAGAGAGCTGAGAATATGAAGCTTTAGTAGAGTAAACCTTGGGGTTTGAAGTTAGGAAGCATAACCTAAACCAGCAATGTGATGAAATAAAATGATGAGAGATAGGTGATGATAGAAAGGTGATGATAATTAGGTAAATAGATGATGATGAATATGTGATGTAGGATGAAAGGAGATACCATAACCTTAACCAACAATGTGGCGATGTAGTAATCTACCATAGTATAGATGGCGACCACGGACTATTCTAGATAACCCAGTGGAAACACCAGTAGGCCCATAACCTGTAGGTGATGAATTACGATTTTCAGGCGATGTTGTAACTACGTATTCATGCGATGATACTCTAACCCCTTACTATGAATTACGAGTTCACACGATGTTGTAAATACATATTCATGGGATGTCACAAATTTTGCATGTCAAACCAATGGTCATAATTGATATCAGTGAGAATGGTTCATTTTTTTGTAAAACCAAAATCAGATTGGAAATTTTGATTTTTTATTTTGGAAAATGTCAAACCATTGGTTTTTTATTTCGGTTTTGGTTTTTTGTTTTTTTTTTAAATATATTTTCAGGGTTTTGTTTTTGTTTTTTTTTTTTTTTTTTTTTAATTTCATAGATTTCTTCATCAATAAATGTTGCTACAATTTAACAAAAATAAATAATTTGGTAAAACATAATATAAGAGAAAGTTTGTTCACATTTAGTCATTGAACTTTTTAGAGGGAAACGAACTTTCGATTTTGTTCATATTTAGTCACTAAACTTTTTTCCGTTATCTATTTGCCATTGAACTATTGAAACTGTTCACATTTCACCCTTATGACCGGCAACAGCCGGTCATAAGGGTGAAATGTGAACAGTTTCAATAGTTCAATGGCAAATAGATAACGGAAAAAAGTTTAGTGACTAAATGTGACAAAAATCGAAAGTTCGTTACGCTTTCAAGTCATTATCCCTTATTTATATTTATTTCTCATTTCAGTCTTATCTCGTGTATCTTTTAAATTTAATATGTGTGTAAAAGAAGTATTAAAATATTAAGTTTTGTGCTCCATACTGCTTTATTATTATTATGTAGTGCAATTTATATGCTTTTGTATAATGGGAATCTGGTCGATGAGGTGGATGCCAAAACAAGAGTTGGTGGGATTATTTTGGAGATGTTTTTGGTTTTGTGTCTTTATCAGCTTTATTTATTGACAACCATATATCGTACTGTTTTTTTTTTTTTCTCTTCGAAGAAATATGAAATGCATATTGACAAGGCCACAAAGCTGTATATATACTGTATAGATTAACATAATAAGTTTAAAATAATGGTAAACAATGCGTGAGTTGATAATTTACACGTAATCTGTGACCTA